GGGTGCAAACCTGGGTTTGCTGAATTCAAATCATCCGCGATGCTGTACTCAACATCATGAACCAATTCCTCCAAATGGAAAAACAGCCTTTGTTTACCTCATTTACATTAGTAGCTTCAAACTGAAACCAGACTTAGAACTATCCAACCAGCCCGTTGTTTCTCCATCTTACAGCCTGCAAATGCCTCTCGTTCCACAGCAGTTTCCCTTCCAGCGACTGACATTTGGTATTCAGCCTAGCTTTAAATCTTGTCTTTCGTGACTTTTGAACTTTGTCTCCTGCAGAGAAAAGCAGTCCTTGTGCCCTGATTTTGTTTTTTTAACATGCTCACGTTTTCTCCTAATGCTTGAGTCACACTTGAGTCTGGGGTCTGCAGCGCACTGGGTGGCTTTGGTCCTGTGGCAAGGGGAAAAAAACCTCTTTAGAGAGAACTTTGAATAGTTCATTCTGCCCAGAGGCTGTGAGGAATGACTGGTCGATGGAGTTTAGAAGACTAGGTTAGTGAGGAAGAGTGAAAGCTGGGGGTTGGTAGTCTGTGGGCGAAGATGTGGGCGTGGGCACTTGGAAGGAAGTGTGGCTGGGATGGGACCGAGATGCTTAGCTGCCACAGGTACTGGGTCGACTGCTGGGTGAGTTTCAGCAGGTTGAGTTTTAAGAAGTGGTTCCTTGCAAGGAGGATTTTCCCTTCCTCTTCCACTTCTAATTACTCCCCTAGAGACTGCAGTGATTTTCAAGGATCCTGGCTGCCCGGTTAGGAGTTAATATATCACCAAAGTCCCCCAGGCAGCCAGGTCTTCCAGAGCACATATACAAGGTGTACAAATTTAGCAGAAAATGATATCATCCTGAGAGCCCTATCGGTACTAATCAGAGGCATGCCTGTTCTTTCCTTTCCAGTGACACCTTGCTCACGCAGAATGTTCTTTGTGGGAAGGGGGGGTGGGGGGTGCCATGGACCTGGCAAAAGAGTGTTTGGATGGTGAGACATCTGGGGCATAATACGTAGAGAAATGGAAGGCAGTACATGTAAGGAGGAGTTCAGATGACTCCTGAGGTGTTTCCCCATCTTGGGAAACGTTGAGTGGGATCATTTCACAGTTAGGCAAGAGAGAGAAGTAAACTGAGAAAGAAGTTCCATTTTCAAGGTGAAATATCGGCTTGTAGAGAGTTGGGCACCCCAGTTGAGTAAGTTGTAGATGTAGTTACTGATGTGTGTCATCGGCTCCTAAGGCAACCCCAAACTCATGGTGGCCCCAGGCCAGTCCGAGTAGATCTATGTTCTTCATGCCTAGTTTTTAGAAATAAGTTGCCAGATCTTTCTTCCAGGTGCCTCTGGGTGAGCTCAAATCATCTGACCTACCTGTTAGCAGCCAAATGTGTTCACACTCCCATCAGTCCCAAGTGGTGGTGAAAGGTTGGACAAGGAAAGGTTTTGTTCTGAAAGGATAGGTAGAGTATGAAAAGTGGAAGATGGACCGGGGGGCAGGGAGGGGGTCCAGAATACTTAGAGAGAAATGGAAACTTGGGAAGAAATTAAGATCTTATAAGCACAGTGGTGGTTACTGACTTCATCCATACCTGAAGAACGCTGATTGAGAAGAACTTACTTGTACCATGGACTGCAGTTGACTTGGGAGATGGAGCTGCCAATATGAGTGCTACACCCTGCTCTGCCCTCATGGAATTTATAACCTCGCAGGGCAAGCTTAGTTTCCGCAGAGAAGGCGGCGAGCAAACCAGATTGTAAACGCTTAGTTAAGAGTTCTTGGGCTAGAGAAATCAACTCTGGTTAACTTAACTTATTAATCATGTATTGGGAAGGATGTCTTATCACACCCAGAATCCAGAGGAAAGGGGAAGAACCAGGCCTCAGAATGGATCCGAGCCAAAATAGCTCCGGAATCCGCAGTAATGACGGCTGAGGAGAAGAGGCTTCCGGGCTCCCAGGTCGTTTCCAACGACATCCATTTTCATGCACGATCATTTTAGCCTTTAGGAGACAATTGGCACTGTTGGCCTAACTTCGACCCACCCATTGTCCCACCAAGATTGTATCCAAAGCAGGAGGAGCAGACCCTCAGAGAGGACCTAGGGGCTGGAACCAGCTGCAGGGAAAATGCTGCTGAGCAGGGGCAGACAGCAGCTGGGGGATAAGTGCAAGCAGCAATAAGGGTGAGACATCCTCTCAGTGGTTCTCACAGAGCAACGTAGAAATGACAGGAGGTCATGTCTGATGCTTAAGAGGGCTACAGGGTGAGAGAAATGTTCAACTGTTTGTTAGCAGCTAGAAACAAGTAGGCACGGTTGAAAGGGTGGCAGAAGGAGGAAAAATGGGCCACCAGGCAAAGGCTCATGCCCACCCCACTAAATGTGCACAGAGCAAAGAGATGTATCTACAGCCTCCCTGTCATCACACGGGGGTATCCAATACTCTGTCCAATGTCCCACGTGTGTAAGGAGGCTCTCTGGTGGAATCAAACAATTTGAAGTGCTAAGCACTTTGCCATTTGGCTTATGGAGCAACGACTGTGATGCTGTTGACAGTCGGGCACCTATGTCTTCCTTAAGCCCAAAGTCAATCCGCAGCAGTTGCTGTCAAGTCAATTCCAAGGCAAAGTGACCCCGTGTGTTTGGGAGAACTGTGCCCCCACGGAGTCTTCAATGGCTTTCTTCCAGGGTGCTTCAGAGTGGATCCATTACACCAACCTCTCCGTGAGTCGCTGAGGATTTACCCATTTGGGTCACCCAGGGACTCCTTAGATCTTCCTACCAAACCCACAACCACCGTCAGTCCCACCGCACAGCAACGCGGCGCACAGAGGAGAATGGCTCCGTAGGGGTTCCCAGGTTGTAAATCCTGGTGGGTGCAGACTGCCATGCCTTTTACCCAGGGAGCGGCCAGTGAGTTCAAGCAGTCTTTCGCTTAGCAGCCAAGTGCTTTAGCCACTGTGTCACCAAGGCTCCTTCTAGATTTCTTACCCACCCAAACCCATGCCATTGTGTCGGTTCTGACTTAAGATTTCTGAGCTTGCTCATCTTTACAGAGCAGACAGCCTCATCTCCTGAGGAAGGGCGGGCAGATTGAAACTGTCAAGCTTGTTGTCAACAAACCAAGGCCTAACCCAACCCCAGCACTGGGGCTGCTATACATTTCCCTTCACTGCCACCACGTCCCTTCTGACTCATAATGACCCTGTAGGACAGAGTAGAACTACCCTTGTGGGTTTCTGAGTCTCTAAAGCTTTACGGAAGTAGCAAGCCTTTCTCCTATGGAACAGTTGCTAGTTTCCAACTGCTGACTTTGCCGTTAGAAGCCTAGTGCCTAACCCACATGCCACCAGGGATCTTTTATATCTTCCTTCCCAGACCCCCAAAATGATGAGTTGATTCTGACTAGCAACCCTATAGGACAGGGTAGAACTGCCTCTGTGGGTTTCCAACACTATAACTCTCTATGGGAGTAGAAAGCATTGTCTTTTTCCTTGGAGCAGCTGGTGCTTTTGAACCACCTTGCCATTAGCAGCCTATTTGGACCTTGCAACCAATGTGCCACTTAGAAATCAGAAGGGTGGAGCTTTATTTTGGTGCCAAATCTGAATTGGTTGGAATTTCAGAGACATCATTTGTTGCTCCTGGCAAAATTTCATACCTCTACAGTCAAATAAGCTTGGGAAATACTGCCTCCTTGCTTGCTCTCTCTCTCTTGGATCTTCTTTAGCATAGTAAAGAATAATGTGGGGAATATCCATTTATTGGTTTGACCAGTCAACTTCTTTGTGTTGGGAAAGACTTTTCTATCAATAACTCCCACTAGTTTGGAAACAATTTAGCGGCGCTGTCACATGGATGTAATTTCATCTATTCTCTTGTCATAAAGTTCAATACCTAATTACAAGGTGTGCCAAGGTCATATATGGGTATCATATAGACAGATTTCCAAGAAAGTTTGGCTGAAGAATTCTATTCAAGTACACTTGTGGTTGTTTGCAAATAATGTTATTCTATTTCATTTTTAAGATTGGCCTCTTGGACGATCATAGTCAACACTATTTAAACACTCACCTCGTCAAGGTTCATTATAGACCTCAGATCTAAAAGCAAAATACCAATTTCCTAGTCTAACAGCACAATGAGTTTGAAGGTTCACGGGGGTAATGCAGGGAAGCCAGAAGGAAAGAAATCAGGGAGTGCAGGTGGAGAGATGAGTCCTGTATACCTTGTTCTCTGAGGAAAGTGGGAAGGGCTCACAATGGGGGTCCCAGCTTAGCTTCCTGGTCAGTCAACTACATGCATCGCCAACACCCATCCGTCATAGAGGCTTGCATGTTCCTATGATGAGAAGAGCCTTCAGCAGAGCTTACAACTCCCGTAAAGAGTGGCCTCTCAGAAACTCACAGGGGCAGTCCTGCCCTGCCCCACAGGGTCCCTGTGAGTCAGAATGGACTCGCTAGCAGCGAGTTTGGTTTGGGGTTTAGGAAGCAAACTACTTCCAAAATCAGCCAGTAAAATCTTGAGGATCATAGCAATCTAATCGATACCTGATCTTGGGATGATACAGGGTCTCATTCCTTGGGTTCAGACCCAGTGGCAGCAAATGACTCCGACCAGTGAAGATTGAGGGAGTTGAGTATTGAGGGGGAGTGGGTGACAAGAGTAGGGCTGGTGGCTTACGGTGAGTACTTGCAACATCTCCTATGAAGACTGACATAGGTATGAAAGATGACCAAAGCAGATTCTTGAGCAGTGTTGGAGGTGCACATAAAGCTATAATTAGAAAATATATCAATGATCCAGCTGTCAGAGTAACACATTTTTCTCCATGGCTGCTCAGTGACAGAATCAGAAGGTTCGGCAGATGTTTTTTGGAGCCCAGGAGCAGTAGCAAAGCCTGGGAGAGCCAGAACTCCACAGGACAGCCTTGTCTTCCTGGGCCTGGGGCCAGTGTATATACGGCTAGATCTCAATCAGAGACCAGAAATAAAAGAGTAATCGAGGTGGGCTTGCTAGGCCTGTCCTGGGACTATGCCCTGGCTGGCCTAGAGCCCTGAGCTTCTTCAGGCTGCAAGAGAGGATGTATTTCCGGTGTCTTTCAGGAGAGAGAGCGAGAGCACGCATCTCCAAAGCAGTGACTCTTCTTGCAAAACAAAACCCAGTCACTTTTCTTAAAACAGCTGGGGAAGTATCTTTTTGTAAGAAGAATCATCTCTGGGGTGTTTGAATGATTATTTCAATCAATCCGTATAATTTAAAATATGTAATAAGTGCATTCAAACGTTCAAAGTGTCTCATTATCTCTACTGTAAAAAGTATTTCTCACCTACCGCTGACCCCTAGTTCAAATCTTCTTCCTAGCAGCGTCTGCTTTTACCAGTTGGGAGCTCAGATACTCTGCTTCTTGTCATTTCTCACTTCACATTGTATCTGGGAGAATATTCCATGTTTGTAGACTGATCCACCAAACTCCGCAAATTGGCTATTCCACAGTCTACTTAACCCGTAATGATGAATATATTGTTTCTAGTGAAGAGGAAAAATACACAGTAAGACTGTGTGTAAGGTGGTGTAGTAGTTATGCCTTGGGTTGCTAACCCCAAGGTCCATAGTTCTAAACCACCAGCTGCTCTGTGGGAGACAGTCTGGGCTTTCTACTCCACTAAAGAGTTATCATCTGGGAAACTCACGGGGGCAGTTCCACCCTGTGCTATAGGGCCGCTCTGAGTCGGCATCAACTCGGTGGCTGTGGGAGAGCACCGTTCGAATGGAGTGTGTCACTCCAAAGGAGAGAGGATGGGGCGTGGACTTGGGGGTAGCCAAGCTGCCCCTGAGGTCTGGGCCCTCCAGGGGACCCTATCTCATGCTGTGGTCCTTCTACCCCACAGGAGCCTGATGCCTAGGACCCTGGACAGCCAGATCACGCTGGAGAAGACCCCGAGTTACTTTGTCACCCAAGAGGCCCCTCGCCGGATCTTCAACATGTCTAGAGACACCAAGCTCATCGTGGTGGTGCGGAATCCCGTGACCCGGGCCATCTCGGATTACACCCAGACCCTCTCCAAGAAGCCCGACATCCCTACCTTCGAGGGCCTGTCCTTCCGCAACCGCACGCTGGGCGAGGTGGACGTGTCGTGGAACGCCATCCGCATCGGCCTATATGCGCTGCACCTGGAGAGCTGGCTGCGGTACTTCCCGCTGGCCCAGATCCACTTCGTCAGTGGCGAGCGGCTCATCACCGACCCGGCCGGCGAGATGGCGCGGGTGCAGGACTTCCTGGGCGTCAAGCGCTTCATCACAGACAAGCACTTCTACTTCAACAAGACCAAAGGCTTCCCTTGCTTGAAGAAACCGGAATCGAGCCTCCTGCCTCGCTGCCTGGGCAAATCCAAAGGGAGAACTCATGTCCAGATCGATCCGGACGTCATAGACCAGCTCCGGGAGTTTTATAGACCTTATAATATTAAATTCTATGAAACAGTTGGGCAGGACTTCAGGTGGGAATAAGTCAAGTGGGTACAAGGGTGCTTCTCGGTTTGCTCTCGGAACCTGTCACCTTTCCCCCACAGTCCCTTCCCCGTGGCATCCTAGGATAGGGACGTCCATCCAGCGAGGGCCCAGGACCAGGGAACTTCTGCCTCATCTGCCAAGGCAAAGTGGATCTGCTTCGGGCATTGCCAGTCAAGTTCAGGACCACTCTTCCTTCAGCCTGTAAGAAACTCCACCCCCATCCTCCCCCTCAACTCAGAGCAGCCCGAGAGGACAGAGTCGAACTGCCCCATAGGGTTTCGGAGCCCGTCACCTTTATGGAGCAGACCACCATGTCTTTCCCCCTCTGAGCCACTGGCTGGGAGGTTCGAACTCCGGGCCTTTCAGTTACCGGTTGAGTGCTCCTTTCAGCCCATAAGAGGCTTTGGGAAATTCCCTTCCAAAGAGTGGTCCTTCCCATCGTGATCACCATTGTAAGTGGTGACAGCTCCGTTGCTATGAGCACAGCAGTCTGACCCTGTCCCTGTGCACTCCGGAGTAGGCATGTTCATACCAGGCAGCACGCCTCTCCTCTCTGAGCCTAATTTCCCTGGCCAGCCTTGGGGTGGGGG